TACGTCAAGCGACCTTTTCAACGTGTTTACGGTCACGATTCGGTGTGTGGAAACGGGCAGGAAGACGAAGACGACGGAGAATTCCAATAATCACTTTAATTAATCCACAATAGGTAAATCCAGACAGGTCAGGAAAACACACAAACGAGGTAATATTCACAATAACCGACAAACTAGAACACAATAGATAGGAACTGATATAGGGCAGATAACGAGGGCAGACAGGTGAGCACAATGAGGTGATTAACTAATAATGAGAACAGGAATAACCAAATAGGGACACAGAGGGAGAAACCACAATCAACAGTCCACAGGGGTGTGACAGATCGCCCCCCTCCTGGAAGGCGCGTCCTTGCGCCATGGAGACAGAGGGAGGGATGGAGGGGGACTTAGCAGAAGGACATAAGGAGTTGATGTGGGATGGTGACAGGTGAAGACAAAGGGCTGGCAGGCAGACCAGACAGGTGGCGGTTCTGGCTGAGGACGGACTCCCAGGAGGAGGATGACTAACAGAGTCCAGGGTGGTGATGATGGAGGGAGGAGCCAGGGAGACGACAGAAGGGAACCGGAGCAGGAGGAGGAGCCAGGTGGAACCCAGGCCACAGCCATGATAGCAGCCCACAGTGAGCTCTGTCGCTCCTGATGGCTCAACGACTGTGGTAGGCTTGGGCAGCTCCGTGCCGTGGGGTGGTCCTTGACTGGGCTCTGGGTCCTGAGTGGGGCTGGTGTTGTTGTCCGCGATGTCCACGGTCAGAGGTGACTTGCAGGACACCAGCACCCACTCAATGAAGGCGGCGATGCTCTCTCGCGGACCATCTCCCTGGACAACTGCGCTCGTGTGATGGCGTTAAGTCCAGCTTGATAGAATGAGCCGAGGCAGTTGTCTGGATAGTGTGTGAGGTTTGCGAGGAACACAAAGTCTTTTGTGTGGTCCTCAAGAGAGCAATCGCCCTGCTCCAGCAGGAGGACGAGGACGGAAGGGTCATTCATAATAAAAAATCTAAACTGCTAAAATCGGAAATCAAAACAAGGGGAAGACGCCGCTTAAATAGTTTTTGTAAGTCGGTTATTCTGTCACGATTCGGTGTGTGGAAACAGGCAGGAAGATGAAGACGACGGAGAATTCCAATAATCACTTTAATTAATCCACAATAGGTAAATCCAGACAGGTCAGGAACACACACACACGAGGTAATATTCACAATAACCGACAAACTAGAACACAATAGATAGGAACTGATATAGGGCAGATAACGAGGGCAGACAGGTGAGCACAATGAGGTGATTATCTAATAATGAGAACAGGAATAACCAAATATGGACACAGAGGGAGAAACCACAATCAACAGTCCACAGGAGTGTGACAATTACGTATTACGTGCTCCTGGAATTTTTTCATCAAAAACCTTAATTACTTTTCGACTGAAGAGAGAACGTCTCAGTTTACTTATGTAACCATGGTTCCCTGAGTAGGGAAAGGCAGATATGACCATGTTACTCTGGATGATGGCACTTTTTATGAACATGTTCTTTTAAATCATCCTGCTATGCTTCGCGGTTGTTAGTGTAGAATAGCAGGCAAACACAAAAACAACATAGTCAAGTATTGATTACATATCTATCGCTATTTCTATTCAGATGCTCCTAATCTATTAAACTAAGGTGTCAATATATTTAAACAACTTTGAAAAATAAATAAATGAAAAATAAAAAAAATCTGTTAGCATGTCAAAGAATAAAACAGAAAAATAGACAAAGGAAGACAAAACTAATAAAACATCTTTGCAATTTAGACAATAACATATAAAATTTGATGTCATTGTAATATTCTAGCATATTTACTTGGTTGAGATGCAGATGAGCAAGCATGCTTTGAATCATTTTCAGTCACTCTTAGGGATATCGATGTCCTTGGTTTAGGAGCTACTTTCAGTTTGGTGAATTACTGAAATGTACAAATCCTACAATTAGGAGCAATTCACCCCTAGTTTTTAAGAGTTGCTCCTAAAATTCTACATTAGGAGGAACTTTTAGCCTAATGATTTCTGGTGAATATGGCCCTAGGATTACAGACAAGAACCACACAATAACTGGACCAGGCATCAGTCAATTAATAACATATAACAAGCCATGATCTGGGACAGAATATCAGCCTTAAGTTAACTCTATCAACACTAAACCCCAAATCTAAGTCAAGTCAAGTCATCTTTATTTGTATAGCGCTTTATAAAATACTGATTGTGTCAAAGCAGCTTTACATTTTCAAATAGGAAAACAGTTTGTCAACAATGCATGAAGACAATAACAAAGAGTAATTTTTCCTGATAAAATCAGTTCATTGATGATTCAGTGATGTCATCATCCAGTTCAGCTCTCTTCCAATATTGTCTGTGCAATCAGTCAAGCATCCCCAACTAAGCAAGCCAAATGCGACAGTGGCAAGGAACCAAAACTCCATCGGTGACAGAAATGGAGAAAAAACCTTGGGAGAAACCAGGCTCAGTCGGGGGGCCAGTTCTCCTCTGGCCAGGCGAAACCTTCTCAATATTTATTATCCATATCTTAATTCTCTCCAACTGAGTAGCTTTGTTGTTTTTAATCGGTGTCTGCAATTTCTAGTTTAAAAAAAGAACAGTAAACTATCCTAGATAATTGGTTGTGCCCCGCTCTTAGGCAGAAGGTATTAATGCAGAACAATTGGGTTTCAAAGAGGCACAAATGAATTACAGAGTGGACAAGCACAGGCAGTTTTGAGGTTCAGCTGTGAAGCTGTGGGATGCGGTATCGCTAGGCCTGTCACGATAACATCTTGTTGTTGTGCGATATATTGCCCCAGAAATAATTGCGATAAACAATATTATTGTCATTTTAAGACCATTTTATGTCACTGAATATATAATCATAATATAAAAGCATAATAATGCAAGAAGGAGACTAATATTAGCGTAGATGCCATTCTTCTTACGATGTAGCGAGTACATCGGGTGTTATAGGAAGTGTTCCCGGTTCCGGGTTGACCTAATTTATGCAGCCTAACAATCCTTTAATGGATTTGATTTATATAAATGCAATAGTATATATTATGTATATGCCAGGTTAAAGAGATGGGTCTTTAATCTAGATTTAAACTGACAAGAGTGTGTCTGCCTCTAAAACAACGCTAGGCAGATTGTTCCAGAGTTTGGGCGCTAAATAGGAAAAGGATCGGCCACCTACAGTTCATTTTGATATTCTAGGTATTATCAAATGGCCAGAGTTTTGAGATCGCAGTGGACGTGAAGACAATAATGCGATATGAGCTCACTCAAGTACTGAGGAGCTAAACCATTCAGGGCTTTATAAGTAATTAGCAAGATTTTAAAATGTATTCGATGTTTAATAGGGAGCCAGTGCAGAGTTGACAGAACAGGTTAAGTCACATTTAACCTAATGCTAAAGCACAGTCTCAGCCAGGGAAAACTATGGATTCATAACCTATTGATAATTCCAGATGGATTGGATGATGGTGAGATCAGATCTCTGTGTGGAACATTGGCTGTTGTCAAACTCCTCGTGGATTCAAAAATCTCACTGGATTATTACAATTAATGGCAAAATGAATGTTTGGAAACGTTAACTGATATTTCCTTCTGACACACTACAGCAAAAGATAAAAATAACTGACTTAAAACCATTGTATTTATTTATTTATTTTATTATTTATTCATTTTTTGTTGGTGGTGAAAATACTAATGGCCTAAGACTTTTGCACAATAGTGTAAATCAGTGTTTTAATAATGTTTTAAAACACTACCACTATTGTATTATTAATATATTGTAAGGAACTGCTAAGTAGTAGATCAGTAATATGATCTCTACAGAAGCAGGCAAATCATGTGCATTGTGCCGCCATTATTATAACTACATTATTATAACTAGACAACAAGATTAATCATTGTAAAAAGGATCGACTTACTTGTATTCGTCTTACTTTAACAAGACACAATATCAAGGAAATATTTATCACAATGAGAATGCCCACGTGATTTCAAGCACAAATTATTTAACATCATAATCATAATATTAGGAGATGTGCATATGTCACACACTGCTAAATTATACCCAGATCAATATCACCACCTGCTGGCAAAGGCTGTGATAAGACATGACCTTTTGCCATCTAAAAATAAACACAACTGAGAAAAAAGGTGCAACCAAGTCTACAAATCTACCATATCCCCTCAGAAACCTTAAATATTATGTTGAAACTTCATTTCAAATAAAATGCCTTTCCAAAGGCTCACAAACCTCATTACTTGTGTTGCCCACCACACTGCACATTTTCAACCAACACAAGTCTTTTCAGGCTTAAAAGTATGCATTTTTTAATGTAATTTGAAAGTGTGTAAAAATCTGTATTTTGTAGCAATGTTTTTGTAACAATAGCTTGTGGTTATCAGATTTGAGTTACAAGAGTTTTACCCACTGTACCACACAACCCGTTTTAATGTTTCTAGTTAAGGACAACTTCTGAGGAGTCTGTGCTGTTTATGCAAATCAAGCCACAGCAGAGATGTCTCAAGAGACATGTTTTATACTACAAATAATAGCATGTACTGGTGACTCTTAGTAGAGCTAATTCTCTGCACATGCGCTACATTATTTGTAGATGAAGTGATAGCAGTTTCAGATTGTATCACAGAAGGTATTTCTGGTAATGCAATTGCATGTATATTGTTTAACTGATTGAATAATTCATACAGTACTTTATATTTACATGATGCATTATATAAAACGTCTTCGCTGCAGTTATTCAAAGCTGAGAACCATGAAAACTGTTTGTTTTTAAGATGCATAAAGAGCACATTAACTTTTTCTGTTGCATTATATAAAACGTCTTGGCTGCAGTTATTCAAAGCTGAGAACCATGAAACTGTTTATTTTTAAGATACATAAAGAGCACATTAACTTTTTCTGTTCTCATCTTCAGGTCAATGAATCCATTCTTTGCTTAACGGATAATGGAAAATAGAACATATTTTTACTTGATGTTGTTTGAAAATATTGGGTACATAAGATATGCTTTTTTCAGTTTGGGATTTGTTGTATTTTGTGCTATTGTATTCTTTAATGCCCTTATTATTCTTGTAATTTTTCTGGAAAGGACATTGCACCATCCCATGTACATTCTAATTTCATGTCTGTCCGTCAACTCTGTATTTGGAACAGCTGCTTTTTTCCCAAGGTTACTGACAGACTTGCTGTCTGATACACACTCAGTCTCTGTCGTGAAGCATGTATCTTACAGGCTTTTGTCATTTATTCATATGCAGCAAATGAAAATATAATATTAATGTTAATGGCGTTTGACAGATATGTAGCAATCTGTAAACCATTACAATACAACAACATAATGACCCCCAGGGTTTTATCTGTTTTAATAGCTATAAGCTGGATTTATCCAATGATTTGTCTTGGTATTGCTGGTATATTAAATGCCAGACTGACGATGTGTGGTAACAAACTGTGGAAGGTGTATTGTCACAACTGGGAAATTGTCAAGCTTTCTTGTGGAAACACTATTGCTAATAATGTTTTTGGTTTTTTCAATATGACCACAACTCTTATTATACCATTACATTTTATATTATATTCTTATGTTAAAATTCTTATCATTTGTAGAAAAAGCTCACTGGATTTCAGGAGAAAAGCATATCAAACTTGTATTCCGCACATAGTGATTCTTTTAAATTTCTCAGTTGCTCTTTTTTGCGAGGTCACTTTGAGTCGGTTTGCGACTTTGGAGCTTCCTATAGGGCTGTCGATCATTCTTTCACTAGAGTTTCTTATAGTACCACCCATCCTGAACCCTCTTGTTTATGGTTTGAATTTTCCTGAAATTCGCAAAAAAATTCTATGGATTATAAAAGCTTCCAAATAGCTGTAGTAAATATATTTTTATTAACAGTATTCAGTGATTGTATGATTGTAAATCATGATGTACATCACATTTTATGAACCTTTTAACTTGAGATTTTGCGTTTTACTGCCAGTAAATCTTTGCAACAATTATATATTTATTATACATTAAAATTTCTTAGCCTGGATAACTGTCACTGCACTCATGACATGGGTCAGATATATAGTATAGCAATGCTATAGCAAGTGAACAACTTCCCCTATTCAGAAACAATATGGCTGTTTGTATAACAAAACAGAAATAAACATAATTCAAGAATACGCAAGTATTATGAACTCAATATAATAAAGAAAATGTCTCAACTTTGTGTGTCTTCTTCATTCACTTATTTAATAGTGTAACATTGGTGGGCCAAAAGAAAATGTAAATAAATAGATTAGAGAGAGATGAATGAATGAATAAATTTGTTATAAATTAAAATAAATCTAATTTGTTCTGGGAGCTGAGAGGGTGCAATGAATAAATTTGTTATAAATTAAAATAAATCTAATTTGTTCTGGGAGCTGAGAGGGTGCATGGAGGCTTTTTTTCGACTTTTACCTGGACTTTTAACAACATGTCTAGCAAAGATGGAGGTACTTTTTCGACTGAAAAATGTCCAAAAGCCCAACAAAATCTTCAGTGCAGACCTGCCGATGCTGATTCACATGATTGCGGTACATGCAAATGTGGCAACTCACTTAAGCTTACATGCAAAGTCACGGAGTGCATCAGCAATGTTTTGGATGAGACATTGTCTGTTAACGAATGTTTTGGATGTTATTTCGCAGCACGTTGAAGACAACACTAAACGTATTAGCGATGCGGAGCGCAGACTCTCTGAGATAGAAGATAGAAGACACAGCATTGTGGATGCTGGCTGAAAAGGTGGACGGCTTGGAGAACAGGTCAAGGTGAGAATATATACGAATTATAGGGCTCAAAGAGGGGTTTGAAGGCTCTCAGTCCACTGCATTTTTTGCGTCATGGCTACCAAAGGTGCTTGAGCTGGACACAGCGAAAGGCCACTTTAAAATCAACCGTGCCTCGGGAACTGTGGACCTCCCTGGGCTTGACTTGAGGACTGGAGCCCTTTCTGTGCTGGACACGGGGACTGGAACCTTCTCTGGGCTAAACTCGGGGACTGGAGCCCTCTCTGGGCTAAACTCGGGGACAGGAGCCGCGAGCTCTGGGGCTGGAGCTGACACTGGAGCGAGCTCTGGGGCTGGAGCCGACCGCCTTCTCCTCCTTCGATTCCGCTTTAGGTTCGGGGTGAAAGGTGTGGTCGGCGGTCTTGACTTCGGAGCGGCCGGCGGACTTGACTTAGGAGCGGCCAGCAGGCTTGACTTAGGAGTGGCCAGCGGGCTTGACTGTGGAACGGCTGGCAGAGGGGTTCTGGATCAGGATCGGAGGCTCTCCAGACACCAGATGACTGCCTCCTTCCAGTCGAGGTTGGTGGTGTCTGGGAGCTCCGCGGGGCA